ACTGCTTGCGTGTCCGAGAGCGTCGCGACACCGCGGATGGTCTTGCCCGAGAGGACATTGTCGCTCGGCGCCTCCGCCATGCTGAGCGTCTTGTCCGCGTTCGCCGTCACGGTCGTCACGACCGATTGGAGCTTGGACGGCAAATAGTATGTCAAGATGTTGGTCGCGTACGTCGACTGGGTCGTCCCCATGCGCACCGTGTTGATGTACTGCATCGTGTCGCTCGGAAGCGCGGCCGCATCGAGATACGCAGTTGTGCCGGCGCCGACGCGGAGCGTTCCGTTGGGCGCGAAACTCACGGGCTTTTGGTTGGCGCCATTGCTGCCAAACGACGCGCTCGAGAGAAGAATGCTCGTCGACTGGGACTTCGACCCGCGGTCCAGGAAGTGCAAGAGGTACAAGGCGAGCCCGTTGAGCAAGATGAACACGATCGCCGCGAACGTGAGTTTGAACTTGCGCGAGATGCGCGGGAGCTCGGCCTTGGTCGCGTCCATCTCGATGACGACGTTCTTGCCCTCAATGTAAGGTGTGTCGGCCGTCGGTGTGTCGGCCATGCTGATGTCTTGTATCGATGTGAGCCTGAGAGGGCCAACTGAGTACTGAGAGCTCGTGGCGCACGCACTGCGGACATATTCGATTTAGTTGGCAGCCAACGAGCGTTCTCCTTTGGCTGCTTCGAACATCGCAGCCCAGGAACATCCGAGAAAGAAGATTTACATACTACTTGTCTTATTATGACGTGGCGCGACGTCGTGTGGTCGGAGAAACATCCGGTGGAGGACGTTGAACTGCCAAGAGTTTCAACCCAACAAGAGCTTACGAAGTATTGGCTTCGTAGCGCGCATAGAGGTCACGTAGCCGCGCGTGTGCATGGTAGCATTGCTCGTACATCGCTAGCGTCGACGTCCACGCCGGGTCCAGCGTCGGCGGCTGGAAGGTCCGGTCCTGGCCATGGCTTAAAGCGTCGCAGCATGCGAGGATGCGCTCGAGATGCGTCTCGGCCGTCGTGAGCACAGTCATGGTGTTCCTACAGCAAAATCCGTGGTCGAGGGCAGACGCCGACAGTCGACTGCGTACTCTTGGTCGCCAGGTGCGATATGCAGCATCTTGGACGTGTACGCTGTCTGCAGCTTCTGCAAAATGGTCGGTCGCAGCGCGTGGAAAGCGTCCATCTGAGCACGCAGCGCCGTGAGCATGGCGTGCTTGGCATCAATGGCATTGGTGGCCAAGAGCGGCGCTGTCGTCGCGACAAACGTCAGATCGTCAATATCGCAAAGGATCTACTGCATGCGCGTCTTGTCTTCCATATGCAAATGCGGTCAGATACATGGGAGAGCGTCTCTTCGGCGGTCGTCATGTCTGTCATGAGCTGGATCATGTCCAAAGACGGTGAGGAGACCACGTCGTCATCGTCATCGTCGTCCAGGGCCATGGGCGCGACCTCCTAGTCAGGACCGTTGCTTTTAGGAAGCATATGCGCAGGTAGGAGGACCCACCTTCCACTTCTGGAGGAAGACGTCGAGGCCCGTCGGTGCTGCCGCTGGGTCCGCCGACCAAGGATTTGACCCCATCGTTGCCTTAAAATTCGGATATTGCCGAATATAGTTAGGGAAGCTAGGACAAGACCTCACTTTAGGACATGGATAGGTCCAATGCGCCTTTCCTCTTCCTCTCCTCACATGTGTGAGCCAGTGAGAGTGTACTCTCCCATGTGGGAGCACGTACACCTGACAGGTTGGAGGACCAACAAGCTTGTCGATGCAACTGCTCTCGAAAGTGATCTTCCGCTTTTCTGTGCCTGAAGCGTCCGTAGTCAGCTCTACGATGCTGTGATTTCCCGACGCACTCGAGCAGTGCTGCCAGACTCGACAGGCGCGCACTGTCATTACGAGGAAAAGACACCACGACGACCGACTTGGCGGCTATCACTCGTTTGGAGTTGCCCATCGTGCGCGTCGACGCAAGTTCCATCGACCTGATCTCTCGATACACTGCCTTCGATCCACTGGAACGTGGCAGACACTGTGTTGTGAGCGTTGTAGATCCGAATCGTCGACAAAGGACCAAGGACATCGAGCCGACAAAGGTGGATCAAGGGCGCATTGTGGTCGTTCGAGTTGCTACTAGTACCGGTAGTTTACTACTAAAAATGTAGTCGTCCTGCCCACGCCTCCACGGCGCTGCGACGATCGCATCGTCGTCGGACCAGGCGTCAAATATGCAGTTTCTACGCCCACTTGCTCAAAATCGCATGCTTTGGCGGCAAATATTATATTCCAATAGTTGAATGTGGTATACAAACACCAAGATAGAACTGTGAAAAACAGCGAGCAAAAGAGTTACTCACCACAAGACGAGCACACTGGACCCGAGTTATTTGCATTCCGCCATGCGCAGCCCACGTCGTCGCAGCGGCGCCTCTCTTCATGTCGTCGTCCTGGGCATAATGAGCCTCGCCGCCTCGGCGACTGCCGCGTGCTACGACAGCGGGCGCTGCTACCTCTACGAAGGCGTGCCCATCGGCGTCGCCGCGTGCGACCTCGCGTCCACGCAGTGCCCACCCTGCGTGCAAAAGTACCTCGGAAACCTCTGGTGCAGCCGCACGTATCCCGCCGTACAGTGCCTGCCAGGCTTCGAGTACTGCCCTGTAGCGCCAAAGCCAAACACGCCGTCGCCCACGTCGCCCACGTCGCCCCAGCCGACCTCGCCTTCGACGCAGCCTCCGATACCACCCTCCCCGTCGCCCACGACGACAACGAGCGCTCCGACTAAAGGACCTACACCGCCGCCAGCGACGCCCGCTCCAACGCCGCCGCCAACGACACCACCACCAGCCACTCCGTCACCGACGCCGACACCGACACCGTCACCGACACCCGAGCCAACGACAACACCGCCGCCGGCAACAACGACACCTGCGCCGACGCCAAATGCAACGAGACCAAACATGACTGAAACAGTCGACGTGCGCGATCCGTCGCTCGCTGGTACCGAGGTCGCACGGACTGAGCCAGTGACGCGCCCACCAGCAGTCATGACCGACAAGACTGACAATGCGTCGTCACGCACCGAGTCGGCGACGCTTCCAGGCACCTCAGTGCACTCTGCGTCCGAGAATGGGTCGTCACCGATCTCCATCACGGCCATCGCAGCCGGCGTTGGTGCTTGCACGGTCTTCATTTTTGTCGTGATCGTGGTCCGGTTCCGTCGGCGGCAGGATTGGGAAACCCGCAGTGTGCTCTCGCCGTCCAAGGTGCTCTTCAGCATCCGAGGCACGCTGCCTGGAACGTTTATGCGCGGTGAGACGCCCACTCTCGACGCACGGTCGTCGCCATTCCACTCGGTCACGCCCGTGATGGAGTTGTCGTCGCGGCAGTTGCCAATTCTGCAGCACCAGCCATGAGCTCCGAAAGGACCATATTTAACCTCACTTGTTTCCGTCGTCCTGCTTCGCTCCAAGTACTACTCTTAACAATCCACACGTGATGTTGTGCGCTTTATGTTGCATCGCATGGACGTGACGTGGCAGCACGACAAGCCGCAAACGCTTGCGTAGAAAAAGCTGCGATGGACAGCTCAACCGCAATCGCCCGCAAAGTTCATGGCAAGGCCACCTACGACTTGAACAACACCTTGGCCGGTTGAGTTTTTGGTCCATCACACATTGTGTGATGCTGGTATCCAGACGTCCGACTGACGGTACCGTCTCGCGAAACAACAACACCAGATTCTCAACCCGCACTTCAGTCGTCGTCGCCGCTTTCCCACGACGGTCTAATACTCGCATTATAAGTTGGCAGGAGTATGTATGCTAGCGATTTGCCCGGTCATCATCGTTTGGCCAAGGGTGCCACTTTGGCCGCGGACGGCGCTGTTCGCGCCAGAGAGACCGCGGTCGACGTTGATGCCGCTGTGCCGGTTGCAAGCGCTGCCGGTTTGACCATGGACGGCGACTGAACGCGCTTTGCCGGTGCGACCGGACGCGTCGGTACTGGGATGTTCGGGATTTTCGTCAAGGTCGTCTCGTCCTTCTTGTCCTACAGGGCATGAAATCCAAGCGACGCATCAACCTCAACGTACTTTGGCTTTGCTCGCCACGGCGCTCGTCGTCGTTGATGGCGGTGCTTTCACGAGCGCACTTCGCGCAGTCGCCATTTTCGCTGGATCGGTAATCTGCTTGAGCGAGCCCGTTGTTGCCGTCGCGCTCTTGGACTCTCTTGCAATGAGGCCAGCGCTGGCACTCTTGGGTGCTAGCGTTGCGCACGTTGGCAGTGACACGGCTGACGACGTGGCTGTTGGTTTTGGCACCATGGTCGTCGGGAGCTTGGTGCCACCGGGCTTGACGTCCAGCTTGCTCAGCTGCCGCGGTGGCACACACGTCGACGACGACCGCGGGTTGGGCATCTCTTTGCTGTGCTGTCGAATCTTGTTGATTATGTCGATCGACTTGACGCGCGCGCGCCGGACGACCTGCCCGTCTTTGCCGACGATCAGCGTATACTCGAGCATTTCCGACCACTTGGCTTCCGACGTGAAGAGGTCGTGGTCCGTGTGCATGCCAAGCGCCTCCTCAGCAGCGACGCGGCGGTCATTGTCCTCGTCTGATGGAGTCACGGGTTCTGCCCAGTGGTCGCGTGCGTGTACAAGGACGGCAAGTACGTCACGGTCGGCTTCATGCGGCGCTTCAAGCACGATGCGAATGCGCGTGAGGAGCTTCTCGTCGCCTGGCGTATTCGGATCCAAGCAACTCTTCCACGCCAAGAGCAGGGACGCTGCCTTGATGCGCACGTTCGGTACGTGGTCGTCGAGGAGGTCGAGTGCGGGCTCGACAAAGACGTGTCGAATGTACTTGCGGCTGTAGCAGCCAACAGCAAAGTCGCACGCGTCGAGGAAGAGCGATCGCTGCCAGTAGCTCTTGCCCTGGGCGTACTCCTTTCGTAGGCGCACGAGTATGTTGAAGCGGTTGGTCTGGACTTTGTTCTCGCGGTGAAGGGTCACAAGGGTGCGCACGGCTTCGAGCTGGACCGGTCGCGCGCCCTACAAGCCCAACGTCGTCCGAAACGCCGTACACCGACCCACGCACCGCGTTCATCATCTCAAAGAGGAGCGGAAATATTCGCTCAAACAGCTGAATCGGGGACAAGAACGGGTGCAGCTTCTCGAGGGCTGAGACGACGCGTAGCTGGTCGCGCCACTTGCCGGCCGCGAGGACCGTATGATGCTGTAAAATGTGCTTGAGCACCGTCTCGAGGTACGCCATCTACACTGAATTTCCCACTTTGCACTTGATGGCAGTGGTGGGTACCCGCTGGTCGTCGTCGACGCTTGTGCAAAAGTAGGGCATGACGTCGGGTAAGCGCGCAATCATGTAGCCTTGGACGACCGCCGACTCGTCGCGCAGCGTCGTGAGCGACATGGCTTTGATGTACCGCAGTGCTCGCTGCTGCCCGAGAAGGTGGGCGATTTCGTGGAGGCCAGCGACAGCCGTGATGCGGACGCTCTCGGCCTTGTCCTGCGTGAGCGCTTGGAGGAGCTCGTCGAGCTGCGCCGAGTATTGGTTGGCGCCAAACGACAAGACGACCGCGGGAAAGTTGTAGGCGCAAGCGAGGCGCACCTCGTTCTCCGCGTGCCGCCCGAGGCGATTGAAGGCCGTGAGAAGGACGCTGCTGCTTTCTGCGCCAAAGTCGTTGAGCGTAAAGAGCTTAAAGACAAGTCGTCCAAAGCTGGTGGCGAGCGGGCCGATTAAATACGATGGCGTGTGGGCAATCACGTCAAGGAGCACGGGCAAGATCTGCGATTCGCGCTCCTTCTTGGGGTAAAAGTCGTAGAGGGACACGAGCGTCCGAAACGCCATGCTTTTCACTTGCTCCTCTTCGTCTTGGAGGAGCTCGAGGAGCTCAGGCAGGAGGTCGGCACACGCCTTTGTCGTGCTACATCGCAAATCGCATACAGTGGAATCGATGCGCTGTCTTGAGCTATACCTCACAGCGCGCGCCAACGCATCCAGCTGCATGCACATGCACGTCCGCACGTCTGTGTCCGTGTCTTGGCACAGACCCATCATCTATTGGAGGGCTGATGAGACGCAAGCTGCGATACATTTCGCGAGCCTTTTGGAAAAAGAGGCTCTCAATGTCGGCTTCCGAGAGCAGCGTCGACGCCGTGAGGACGCCGAGGACCCAGCAACAAATGAGGCGCGAGCCCGCGGCCTGAGACACGTCGCCCTTCTCGATGCCAATGCGAATGATCTAGAGGCATATCTCTATAGTTATAACGTGCTGCAGAGGCGCACCTGTGTCTTCTTGACCGAGCCCGAGAGGCGTGGTACGAGCGCGGCGATGCACCGACTCGCGACCTCGGCCACGTCTTTCTGCTGAATGTCGTTGACAAAGTCGAGCACCATTGGGAGGAGCTGCTTGGTGACTTGGTCGTCGCTGAGGAGGAAGGTCGCGGCCTGCTTTTGCCGGTGGTAGCTCGAGATGAGCTCGTCGTATTCGTCGTGGAGCGTCGGCAGCGGGTACGCGATGAGCTTGCCGTCGCATGTGCCACCGGCGAGGTGCATGAGGCAGTTGAGGATCTCGACGAGCATGTCCATGTCGTTCTCGGTCTCGTTGCGCTTCCAGATTATCTACGCATGAGCATGAGCCTCCCAGATGGCGCATAAGGTTGCCTTGATGTCGTCGAGGAGCAGCGTTAAATTCTCTTTCGAGTTGTTGGCGGCGAGGATCGTTGGAATCGAAGCGAGGACCGATATCTTTTGCTGCTTGAGTCCGGTCTTGAGGAGCCAGTCGGCGCGAGGGATCTCGGCCATGTCTTCCTCGACATGGAGTCGCTCGAGGTCCGATGGGTTCTAGAGATGCATAAGTCTCTGCGCCCATACCAAGATGCAGTACGTCGCCGTCGCGGTCAAAGCAGCACTCGGCCTCTTTCTCGAAGAAGAAGTCGTCCATGGCGCCGGCCCCATGCAACAAAAGGACTCTGGCGCGACGCAACAGCGGTACCGCTATTTATAGCGGCGTTGCGTAACGCTCGAAACACCCGTGTGGTCTCATGACGTGGCGCCACGAGCAGACGCGCTGCCATGGTGGTAGAGTGCCAGAGTTGTGTTGTTGTCGGAGGCAGGACGACCAATGGCACGGTGCCTGGTTGCCACCGCAGAGCAACTCGATTTCCTTATCGCACCGAGAGCCCAACGCCGGAAGAAGAGCCTTGATACAAACCCAGAGCGATTTGCGTCGTTGTTCGTGGCAACAGAACGCAGATGACAAGTTTGATGGGACTTCACTGTAGAATCGACGCTCATTTGATGGCTGATTCATTTCGCCGATGAAGGCCTTGTGTTGGCTTTGACTTTTGCACTGGCCCATCCCAAGTGGGGCTGGCGATCACATATGAGGCGGCTCATGCATCGACGCTCTCAGATAACCGACCCGCGTCCTCTCACTCGTTTAGAACATTCCACAGGCATTAGTTTACCTTGTGAATCCACACCGGTAATCATCGCCCTCTCATTTAACCTGATTAACCTTGACGCCGTCGCGTTTAACGACCTGGGATGAATCAGCTGTCTGGGTGGAGGTCCCGAGATGCCACGGTGCAGGTCACCATCACTCGCGCCTCGAAATGGAACGCCATCCGGATTGCCGTCCGGATTGAGCTGTAGGGGTCAAAGTGGGGCAGAATTGAGTTTACCCTGTTCGTTCCACAACTGCCATGGCCAAGAGCAAGACCAAGAGCAAGGCCGTGAAGCGCAAGGCGCCGCCGCCACCGCCCGTCACGGTGCACTACGACGACGACAGCATCAACACGCTCTTCGAGGCCATGAGCGTGGTCGCCGTCCGCTGCGACGACGACGAGCGCTTCTACGTGGCCGAGCTCCTCGACGACACGACCGAGGAGATGCTCGAAGACGACAGCGCAACGGTCAACGTCCTCTACTACGACAAGAAGCCCGATGGCTCGTACGTTGTCGGGGCCTACGACGTGGCGCCGGTCCGCGCCATCATGTGCGAAGTGGCGCTTGAAGCCAAGCGCGCAGGGACCTACGCGCTCCCAGCTCGCCACGCCCAGCGGGTGCGTCACGACACCCCAACCCCATCATCATCATGATCTCATCGTTCTCTGCGTAGGTGCAACGCGTCTTGGATGCTGTTGAGGCCGGGAACGGCGTGCCCGAAGAAGAGACACAGCCCATCAAGAAGCGCAAGACCAAGGCGTCCAGCGCTGCCGAAGACGACGATAATGACGACGACGACGACGACGACGGTACCGAGACGACAACGAAGAAGTCACCCCGCGGCAAGCGCAGCCGCGCATCACCCAAGAGCGCCAAGACTAAAATCGACAAGAAGTCGGGTTTGGCGCGCTGCATCGTGCACGTTGCGACGGACGTGGCCGACGACGAGATGGCGGGCGACCATAGTTTCCGTTCCAAGTGCCATGACGTGCTCGCAAGCGCCAAGGAGGTGGTACGTGCGGTGCTCACGCGCAATTACGACCTCCTCGCATCGCTCTTGACGCCGGACGCAGCCGCCAAGATGCACACGCTCCATGCAGTGCGCAGCGTAGGCCTGCGGAAGACGGCGTTGCAGTATGCAATCGAAAACAACGACATGCTGGTACACTCTTGTGTCTACCTCGTGCATCGGCTCACGCTCTTCGACAGGCGCTCCTTTTGTTTCAAAGTATCAAGGAGACCAAGTGGACGTTTGCCGCCAAGCCTAAGTGCGCACTGCAATCCCTTGGGACAGGACAGCACACGAGTGCGTACAGCGACTACAACCGGTGCGCAGCCGTCGCTTTGGTCGCTGATCGCTCATCCCAAAGACGATAGACGCGCCATCAATGCGAGTCGCGGAGGCAAGGAAGGGCTCAACGCGCTGCTCAAGGACTTGGACGTGGACATCATGGGCGAAGCCTATCCCTTTGTGGATTTTGACCGCACCGGCCTCAGCAAGGTGCTGTGGAGCTCGCCCAACACGACGTACGAGCTCGTGGTGTTCTTCTACCCCGCGGACGCGTGGGTCTCGAACGCGGAGGCGGTGATGCCGCAGGTATTCCGCTGCGGCAATGTGGCGCTCGCGACCAAGCTCCTCGGCATCCTCGTCGCTCGCTCTGGCTGGGGCTACAACGCGCTGCACCTTGGCGTGCTCTCGGACGCGCCGCTCGAGCCCTTCCGGAAGGTCTCGGTGCTCAAGAAGGCGACGGGCCATGGTATCGCGCCCTTGCACGTGGCCAGTCTCGACCCAAACGCGCGCCACTTGGGGCAGCTCGTGGCCGAGCTCAGCACGCCCGAACTCGAGTTTGCCGACAGGGCCGGGTGGCACGCTGTGCACTACGCCGCCGTGTGCTCCTCGTCGGCGCCGATGCGCATCCTCCTCGATGCCGGCGCCGACGCGACGTCCAAGACAACGGCCAAAGGTACGAGACACCAAGAAGCTTTGTGGTCCAACTGTGCGCGTAGAAACGCCGTTGCACTGGGCGAGCTCGTCGGGACGCACCGAGACGTTAAAGCTGCTCCTGGAGTCGATGCCCGCCGAGATGCGCTCCGGGTATCTCGAGGGCCTCAGTCCAAACGGGTTTCGCGCATTGCACATTGCCGCTGTGCGCGGACACGCGGCCGTCGTCACCGCGCTCCTGGACGCCGGCGCCGAGATCAACGCAGCCACAGCAAGCAACCACGGCAAGCTCTCAGCGCTGGCGCTGGCTGCCGAGGCAGGGCATGCGGACGTTGTGGGTGTCTTGCTCGGCGCCCGCGCGCCTGTCGACATCCGCGACAAGCTACGTCGCACGCCGCTCATCCTCGCCGTCATGAACGGGCACTCTGCCGTGGCAACGACGCTTCTGAACGCCGGCGCCGACGCGTACATTTTGCTTTGCCTGCGTGTCGATGCTCATGTGTGTGCCATTGCGTAGGAACGCAGCCGATACGTCGCTCAATACCGTCATGCACTACGCTGCGAGCTACGGGTGGCGGTCGTGTGTCCGGCTGCTGCACAGCGTCGGTGCCGAAGCGTGGAGCCGGAACGACTGGGGCTACACGCCAATGGCCTGCGCGGCGCTCAAGGGTCGCTATGATGTCTCGCGCTTTCTCATCGACCACGCGACGGACGCTGGCGCCATCGATTTTGTCGACGCCGACGGCGCGTCGATGCTCTTTCTGCAGTGTCAACTGGCCGAGTCAACGGACGAACTCACCTTCTTGCTCGAGAAGGGAGCCGATCCGAACCGCGCGACGACGGAGGAGCGCACGCCGCTCCAGCAATTGCTTCAGCGTCTCGCTAACAGCGAAGAGGCTACGAAGCCCGTGCTGCTAGAGATGGTGACGCTTCTCCTCAAGCACGGCGCCATTGTCGATGGCCCAGTGTTCGAGAAGCACGGTCAACCGCTGTCGTTGGCGATACGCGCCAAGTCCAAGCCCGCATTCGACCTGCTTCTCTCCAAGGCTACGGTGACGGCAGGGACGTGGACTGCTGCGGTGACGTCTGGCGCCGAGTTTGTCGAGGCCCTCTTGGCCGCGTCCGACGGCATGATTCCTTTCATGTCGACGCCGTATCGCCACAACTTGTTGCACGCACTCGCATCGGCGCCCACGATCCTCCCGATTGCAGTCGTGACGGCGGTCGTGGCGCGGCTCGACAAGGCGGCGTTCACCGCGTGTGACAGCGACGGCGACACGCCAATCGCCGATCTGTTGCTATATCAGCGACCGATGCACGCCGATGTCCGCCGCGACGACGAGGCTGGCGACGCAGCCTACATGGCGCTCTTGGAGCTCTACTTGCAGCACACGCCGGCCCTCGCGCGTCTCCGGCGCATGCGGACGCTGTCGAGAGAAAAGGCATCGGACGAAGTGGTGTGGGCACCATCGACACAAGGGCTTTTGCACATGGCGGCCGCCCGGCGACTGGCAACGACTTCGGAGGGTGCGCAGCGCTGGCGCGGCAAGGACGTCCTCGCGACGCTTCTTTCCTGTGGCTCGTGGACACAAGACGATGTCAATGCCCTCGATGGCGACGAGTCCCCGCTGCTCGTGGCGGCCAAGCACGGTCATGTCGACGGCGCTAGAGCACTGGTACGTCGCAAACCTTTGCTTGCAGCGAATTCATATGTGTTTATGGCTAGATCAATATCGGTGCCAACGTCAACTACTGCGTCCCCATCAAGCCCACGACGACGACGCCGGCGTGCACGCCTCTCCACGCAGCGCTCAATTGCCTGCCAATGGTCCAGCTGCTCCTCGAGAACGGCGCCGATCCGTCGTTCGCCGCCACCGACAAGCCCAAGAATACGCCGTTGCACGTGGCAGTGGACCGCCGAAACACCGAGTTGGTCGACCTGCTTCTCTCGTTTGGCGCCAATGCTGTGCTGCAGAACGAACACGGGCTCACGCCACTCACCGCTGCTGTTGCCGCCGGCCTTTCCGTCGAGCAGACCCTCCTGCATGCCAACGACGTTGACTACACGACGACCGTGCAGCAAGGCGACGACTGGGACTTTGCGTGTCACAAGGCCAAACCGACCGAGGCGCCGCCGGCCCGGACCGTCGTCTCTGCGCTCATTCGCGAGACCACCAAGGCAGCGATCCCGGTGCCCGACGCCCAGGGGCGCACGAGCCTGCACTACGCGTGCAAGAAGCGCGACATTCACTTGCTCCGGGGCCTCCTCGCGCTCTCGTCTGACGCCATCAACGTCACCGACGTCGACGGGCGCACGCCATTGCACTTTGCCGTGAACGCGGCACCGATGACTCCCGAGGCCACGTTTGACGTGGAGAGTCTGCTCTTGCAACACGGCGCCGACGTCAACGCGATTGACCGCTTCGGGTTCTCGGTGCTCCACTTTGCGTTTGTCAAGGTCAACCTCGACTGGCACCACCAGCACAGATCGCTCTCCCACGCTGAAAAGGTCAAGAAGCACGAAGCCCACTTGGCGACGATTCCGAGAACCGATACGGACCCGATCGAGACAGTCGGCAGTCTCTGCCTCGTTGGCGGTCTTGTTGTCACGGGTCAGGACGTTCTCGGTCGCACACCGCTGCACCTCGGTGCCGCGACAGGCGCCGTCGTCAGCGTCCTCGGCATCCTGCATCTCGCGCCCAAGACCATCCTGGCGGTCGAAGATAAGCGCGGCGACACGGCGCTCGGCCGCGCGATGGCCCACGAGCGCAAGGCCATGGTCACGACGCTCATTCAGCACGGTTCGTCCGTCCACGGAACCTTTACGGTCGAGAACCCGTCGATGGAGAAGAAGCGCAAGGCAAGCTACTACTTTTTTGCGGTGCAGCAAAAGTGGCAGGGCATTTGCCACCTTCTCCTCCAGAGCGGCTACTGCCGGCGCCAAGCCGTCGAAGATTCGATCCGGACGCACAACTGGGAGCTGGTACGATGCTCTGTTGTAGCGCATCTTATCTCACACACCTTGTAGACAAGCAACCTCATCACAAGCCTTGTCAACAGCAGCGATCGTGTTCTTCAGCACCCCAACGACCGCGGCGAGACTCTCTTGCACATTCTCGCGGCCCAGGACGTCGCGTTCTCTGGTGCTGCGCGCGCTGTTGCGTGGCAACTCATAGACGCGGGTGTGCCCGCGGATGCTCTCGACAAGAACGGCACCTCGGTGCTCCACGCAGCGGCGCCCCACGCGCACCTGGAAGCGCTTTGCTTTTACTTGCACCACGCACCGACACTTCTCAATGCGACCATGGCCAGCTCGGGGGCAACGCCTGTGGTCCACGGTCTGCGCACCGTCACCAACGTCGATCTCGCAACCAAGCTCGTGGTGTTTTTCAAGCGTCGGGGCGCCGATCTCTCGCTGCGCGCCAACGACGGCCACTCGGTGGTCTCGCTGCTCCTGGATCGATTCAGCAACAACAGCAGCACGGATGCCACGCGCCTGCTCTTTTTACTGCAACTGCTGCTTGCTGCCGGTGTCTCGCCCAGTGGCCGCTTCCCGACGTCGCACCCGTTGGCGGTCTCCCGCCATGCGAGCCACGACAAGCTTCTGCACGCGACACCACTCCTGCGGACTCTGTATGTGACGTCGGGTTACTTGCGGCAGCATCTCTTGACGCTGCTTTTGGCGCACGGCGCGGATATCACTGAGACGGACACGGACGGCAACAGCTGTCTCGCCCACGCTGCCATGCGCAACCTCACGGACGAAGCCAAGTTTTTGGTCGGCAAGAGCGTCACGGCGACGATCCAGCGCCCGCTTGTCGCCACGGACAAGACGGCCGCGAACACAGAGACGACAGAGGCAGCCTGCGACAGCAGCGTGTCCGGCAACGACGAGAACGATGACGACTATGACGATGCGAGTGCCTCGGACAGCGATGAAGACATGGGCAGTGGCTCGGACGACGATGAAGAAGAAGAAGTCGAGGACGAGCCGATGGAAGATGTCGAGAAAGCAAGACCCACGACAACCGACGAGGAAGAGGTCGTTGTCCGCCGACCTCCGATCGTCGTGCGCCGGAAGCTGCCGGCGGCCGCCCTGCGCAAACTCGCCGGTCTTTCCAACTCGTTTGGCGAAAATGCACTGCACGTCGCAGTGTACCCTTGCCATGGGATGTCCTTTGAGAACGTATTGCTCGTAAAGCTGCTCAAGAAGAACGGCGTCTCGACCACCGCGACCGACGTCGACGGCCAAACACCGCTGGACTTGGCCAAGACGCAACCGTCGGGTGTGCTCTGGACGGCGCTGACGTCGACACCGCTGCCGGCGACCGGCGACGTCCCGTCCTTTGCGCCCAAACCGGCTGTCGACGACGACGCTCTCGCGTTCCTCGCCTACTGCGAAGCCCACGGCCATGTCGCGCACGAAGAGATCACGCCCGAGGTCGCGCCGCAGTGTGAGGCCGGCAACAACCCATCCGTCTATGTCGATGCCGACAAGGTCGCGTACGCCGTCGTTTTGACCAAGGTCGACGTGCAGTCAGGCCAGCACGGCGTCAACGTCTTTTACCGCATGCAGGTCGTCCACAACCCGGTGCAGGATGTGTACATTCTCTTCACCAACTGGGGTCGCATCGGCGAAGACGGCAAGTACCAACACACGCCGTTCCCGGACGCGGTGAACGCCGGCAACGAGTTCAAGAAGATCTTCAAGTCCAAAACGAGCAACGTGTTCCCGCCGACGCCCGAGACGCCGTTCGTCAAGAAACCCGGCAAGTACATGCTCTGCGTCGCCCGCACGCAGCGCGCCAAGTACGACAAGGTCGTGACGAGCCCGATCCAAGTGCCAACGGACGCGCCGGCTTCGGTGCACGCGCCGCCCGTGCAGGACGCCCTCGCGGCGATTACGGACTTGAACTGTCTCCACGAAGCCGCCAACCACCTCTCGCTCACCGACGTGCCGCTCGTTGAGCTTCAGAGCGATGCGCTGCAGCAAGCTTTGCAGCAGCTCCATGAGATCCACGACATGATCGTCACCAACGACAAGGTGCTCTCCAACGTCCAAAACAGCGGCGGCCTCGAGCCCGCGGCGCTCGCAGCGCTCACCGACGAGTGGCGCGCCGCCACCGAGGCCATCGCGGCCAAGTGCAGCCGGTACTTTGAGTGCGTCCCGCGTGACGATGCGACGGCCGCGACCGAGCTCGCCGCTTTCCTCGACGTGACGAGCGTTCAAATGGAAATGTCGCGCGTGCGTCAGCTCATTGAAATCGCAGCGACGAGCAAGATTGTGCTGGGCGCCAAGGCCCGGGCGCACGAACGCCACCCGCTCGACTACTGCTACGACGCGCTCCAGGTGCAGCTGCGGCAAAGCTCCGTCGCAGAAATCGACGCAGTCCGCAAGTACTATGTGCAAGGTCATTGCAACAGCGGCTACCGCGTGGCCAATGTCTTTACACTCGACCGGCGCGACGAGCTCGACCGCGACGCCGACACGGACGTGCCGGGGCACCGGACGCTCTTGTGGCACGGCACGAAGCGCACGAACCTCATGAGCATCCTGCACCGCGGACTCTGCATTGCGCCGGCCGATGCGCCGCGGACGGGGCTTGCGTTTGGGAAAGGAGTCTACTTTGCCGACGCAGCCGCCAAGAGTCTCCAGTACTGCACGCCGTTCACAACCGCGGACAACAAGAAGACCAAGGTGTACCTTCTCCTCTGCGACGTGGCGCTCGGGACGCCGCACTGCGTCCAGAGTTCCGAGTACCGCGAGTCGGCGGCCGACGGCACCCACAGCACATTTGCCGTCGGGTGCACGCAACCAGATCCCAGCGAGACGCTGGTCGTCGCGGCTACGGGGCGCAGCAAGGTGCCGCTGGGTGACCTCAAGGCGCTCGGGACAGACCTGCCGCGGTCGTTTGTGTGGTATGCCAAGCAGCCCAAGAACGAAAACAGCAAGTATTTCTCGAACCGGACGACGCTGCGCGGGGATGCCGCCGCTTTCCTCCAACGCTTTGCTCGAGGCGTCCAGTCGCGAATTGACGTGACGGAACCGAGTGAGCTCCTCGAGGGTCTGTTTGTGTACTACAACTACTATGGCCAGTCCCACACGCCGACCAAGATCTCGGTCGATGCCATCGCGCGCCAGCGGTGGCCCTCGGGTGCCCTTCATGAGGCCCACTTGCGCCTCACGGTGCACTTTACCGTCGACGACGATACGTATGCGTTCGACGTCATCGGACGCAGCGACATGTTGGACGGCGTCGAGATGCCAACCGGTTACGACTTGCAGTCGGAGATGCCATCGCTCTCGTACAGCGAGTACATCGTGTACAAGGAGCGCCAAGTCCGCATGCGCTACCTGGTCGAGCTCGAGCTCGAGACCAAGTAGAGTTCGTCGCCTTGTGTATTGAGTGCTTCTCAAGTTACATAGTTACATGTATTTTCGTCGAACGAGACTTGACGTCTTCAGAGCCCAGCCTTCCGATTCATGCTGGGAGCTATATAACTATCGTGAATCCGCTGAAGACAGAGGGATATAACCTAGCTTAAAGAGACCTCCGGGCGCTTCAGCGGCGCGTCTTCCGAGAGGACGTGTTCGTTGAGGAGGAAAATGTCGCGGAGACTTCCTCGAGGGAATCGAACGAGCGCCAAGTACAAGAGGTAGAAGCACGTCGCGCCGTTGCCAAGAAAGATGAGCGCGACAACGAGGAGCGAGCAAAAGAGCTTGGCGTCGTGGAACTCGCGCACGACGACGTACGTCACGACCATGCAAATGCCGGTCCAGACGTCAATCACCGTCACGTAGGACCATGTATCGGCCTTGATGTATGCCCAGCCGACCGAGATGGGCTGCACGCTCACGCAGTAGAGGCAGTAGCCAACAAAGAAGACCATCGATGTGAATGTTGCGACGATGAACGCGAGGCGGGACGGCGCCGCGCTCTCGATCGGCGGCGACGCTTTGCGCAGCGGCAGAATCGCTTCGCGCAGCGTGCCATGGCCGCGGACGATGTACGCGATGAAGACGGCGACGCTAAAGACATTGCCGAGGAAGCAGACGCCGGCGACTACCACAAGCTTGGTCGGGAGGTTGGGCGATCGCAGCCAAAAGTACGGCGCCGCGAAAAGCAGACCGATGACGTAGTCGAGGAGGCCGCTCGTCGCCCAGACGTTGGCAAGGATGTGGTTCCAGCCTTCCGAGAGCGAGACGGAGGCGATCGCGGGGAGAAGCACCGAGGCGAAGTAGAGCGTCGGGACCGCGAGGGCGCCAGCGACCACGAGCTTGGTCTCGACCATATCCAAATGCAAAGTTGCCAGCAACGGTGAAAGCCGGTAGTAATAGTAGCCAATGAAAATGCAGAATCTTTTTCGAACGACCAATCACTGAGCAGTTGCCAGATCTTTCGAAGCGCACCGTCGTCAGGCGACGCTACAGCTGCGCGCCCGTCAACACCTCTGCTAGTCCTTGGGCGGGTTATTGCTCAGCGCAAAATGGTGCCGGTCTACCCACACCTCTGCGCATCCATTGACACTCGACATTGCTTTTTATAGGCCGACGCGTTCAGATACATGAGAGGGTGCAATTGGACCTGTCGTTTTCACGTTTGATGACTCGGAATATCCCGCTGCGATTGCTGCACTCCTTTTTTGGTTTTACCTCCGCGACCGTCGATCGATGAGCAGCAAGAACGTCGCGCATGTTTTGGCGCAGTCAGCGGCTGGGGCAGCGTGCCAAAGGCCGAGAAAAAGGTCAAAACGTCGCGAGGTGCGGCGATGCACCAAGACTACAAACAGGCGCTGAATTCGCTTTGGCCTCTCTTGAGACCCGACTCTGTCGTCGCGTTTGCGAAAAGTCAGGTGCTGAACGCGATGCCGGTGTTCTCCGCGCTTCAAGTTGACGACCCGTACTTGTGGAGGCACAAGATGTACGACAAGGCTTTGGTCGCTGCCGTGACGTCAGTGGCACACTGTGTTTGTCACCTTGACATTGCGATGGCCTACCGCGACGACGATGAGGTCGACTGGGCCGAGCTGCTGCAATCTTGGCTTCGGCCCGCCCGTCCATGCTCCAAGAGCTCGAGATCTGCAGTGCGCACATTGTGCACGTCGAGTCACCGCCGGCGTCGTTTGCGACTGCGCTACGGCACGTTGCGTTCATCAACGTGGGGGTTTTCGTCGTTTGGCTGAATGCGCTCGTCCCTTTCATCTCCCGCTCGCCGGTGCTCGAGACTCTGACGTGGCGCAATAACACGAAAGAAAAATGTGCAATTGTCGACGCTTCCATACGTTTGGGAGCCAGTGGATCGGACAAGGCACTCGGAGGTTGGAACTCGTCAACAACGCGATCGGCAACAAAATGCTTTGTCACTGGCGGCGGCGCTTTATGGCGCCAGCAGCCCCACGGGTTGTCGCCTCGACCTGACGCAAAACTACATTGGCAAGGACGGCTACGTTGGCTCCGCTCGATGCACTCACCACCTGCACCGGCGTCACGCTGTGGCTCGACCCGACCTGGGCGCCACTGGCAGCGAAGGCAACGTCGCGCAACCTTGTCGTTCAAGACATTGTCGTTTGGCATCGCCCCATACTTGGTTTCCCGAGACCGTTGGTCTGTGCGACTCGTCGTAACCCAGCCTCGGCTAACTTGGTGGACGATGTAGGTCGTGGGACAGCCTACGACAGCTCCTACGACTCATGCATCCTACGACTCATGTCGTGACGTTGGCATGTGTCTATATACCGCAAGATGGGCAGTATCAAGCCCCTCCATCGACGTTCCCTCCACAAGACTCACGGGGGTCGCTAAGTGTTCCTCGCGCTCTGCCGCCATCGTTTGCGGCTTTATGAGACAAACTAGCATCACTCTGGCTTTGCATCACACACACTCCTCATTGCCATTCGCCATCAGCAGACGAAGACAGTCGAGCTAATTGCAGTGCCGTCTACGAAGATGATGACCACTGAGACGGAAGATGGCAGTGGTGTCGATCTGCTTCCGGTTGACATCGCTGCTCTCATGGAGGGCTTGGACCGACAAGCCCGCGCGCGCCTCCAGAACCGAGCCAATCAAGCTCGGTTTCGCGCCCGCCGCCGCGCTGAACGCATTGCGCTGCGCACGCAGAAAGACGCCCTTCAGCCGCTATCATGGCACGAGGTGGCCGATGCATTGGCAACATCTGCGACGGACGCGTCCGACGAGAACGGTCGCCTCAAGGAGCACCGCGCTGCCAACCTCGTGCTTGTACAAGCCATGGCCAAATGGATCGCGACGCTGCTTCCGAGGACGCCTGTGCGTGCGAGCCCCGTCGCCTCTCGCTGTTGTTAATGCGATTTCCTAGCGGCGGACTGCGGCATACACAAGTGTCTTGGGCGACGGCGCGGCGCGGCAAGCCAGCTTTGACTGGCTCACAAAGCGCCTGTACATCGACACGGACCGCGCGCTGTCGACCCCGCCCTTTCCAGTCGCGAGTGGCTTTTTGAACGCATTTTCAATCTACGACGAGAACGACGAAGACGCTATCGATAGTGATGACGCAGGGTGCGTCCATGCGTGCTGGAGCTTCCAGCGATGCTATGACCGGCCACTGCACGACGTTGCGACGAAGCTTCCATTTCCGCTCGTGGCCGTGTGCCCGCAACGGCAGTCCGTCTGCTTTCTCGACCAAGAGGTACTAGGACTCGTCGTGCCGTGTGCTGTACAGTGTGTAGCTTTTGGATTCCATTGCGCCAGGCCACATGTGCTACCGCCGCGCGGTGCTCAACGACGGCGAAGCCATCAACCTCGTCGGCCGCATCTTCCACGAAGCAACGCGCGTCGTGTTTGTCTTGAGCAACGTCATTGACGACCCGACGCTTTTCCGCGACGAGTACTACCGCCACCGCCTCTTTTGGTACACGCAAACAGCAAATCGCTCGTTCAAGCGCACTTGATAGGTACGTGGCCGAGGCGATAGCGCCTCAGAAGACGCGCGTTCGCGCTCGGTGGTTCAACTCGCAGTACTTTACAAAAGACCGGCGTCCCGTGGGGTTTGCCAACGAAATGGCAGAAGCGATCGACCCGAGCGCAATCGCAGCCAACCAAGGTCATCGTCCGGCGACGAGAGCGCAGTACAAGGCGTGGCTGGCGTCGACGCATGCCATGCCAGATGCGTACTGGCGCAATCTATCGCAGCTCGAGGCGCCGCGGCTCGATGTACAGCAGTTTGTCGACTGGCGCCAAGGCTAGGATATTTCGTCCATTATCCAATTCAAGGCAAGAGCCTATCTGGATAGTAGCTTTGAGGAGCAAACCCAGCCAAGCAATTCATAGATGTATCCCAGCGCCCATTGCTATCTCTTGACAAGTGAATGACAATACCCCATCGAGCAAGCCAAGCGGCGCAATCATTTCGTATTAAGTTAGGCCTCGGAGCTCAGGCCGGGCGCGTCGCAGTACGTGAGCGCGTGGCGGGGCACAGCGTAGCCCGAGAGCTGGACCGCAGTCGTGCCAGCGCGCAGTGGGTTGGCGAGCGCTACTTGGGCGAGGTATCCGAGCGTGAGGCAGTGGTGCGCCTGGATGAAGCGGATCAAGATCGTTTGCTGCAGCACGTAGAGCCGCGCGAGGAGACTGTTGGCGACGACGCAGAATGGAATGAAGAACGTCATGGCAAACTGCGCTGCGAGTGCGCGGTACGCCTTCTTCTCGGCCTCCATCGCGCTCACAATCGTCTGGATGTGGGCCTGCAGCTGCCGCAATGCGTCGTCCAGGTCTGTCTTGACCTCGCCGTTGAGCACCTTCCACGCCACGTGGTGCAAGCCTTCTTTGACCTGCAGCGTCGCCAAGAGGCTCTGGATCTTGGCAACAAGCGCTTGGAGCTCGTCCTTCTTGAGCGTGCGATGCGTACGCTTGACCTAGTCGTACAATGAAGGCTGCCGTGCTGGTGCGTTAGCATACCTGGACGAGGTACTGAAAGTACTGCGCTCTACGGTGCTGGCTCGTGTTCTTGTAGATGATCTTGCGCAGCAGTAGCAGCTCTTCATGCAGCAGGCCGACGGCCTTCGTGACGGCCTCCACATCGCGGCTCACCTGGGCCAAGTCCATCGTCATGGCTCTTCCTCGCCAATTGTATCCGAAATGCGCACCTAACTTAATTTTCACTCGCACTTACAAGAGATGACCAACACTAAATAAGAACTCCAGAAAATAGCATTGGCGCCTCCCTCTCAGATTTGCGCTCAACAGGTCCTGCAGTACTGATACTGCATCGACCGAGCTCCGATCCCGCGTATACTTACTTATGTGGATGTCTTTTGCAAGGGGCAGGAATAGCATACGCGTCAAGCATACGCGTCGGCGGTGGACCATAACACACTATTTCCAAGTGTGAAAAATAAGAAATAGGGTGAAAATACTGCCCAAGGTCGTGGCAGAAGCGAAAACCATGCCAAGCGACTGGGTCTGCGACGAGTGCGAGCAAGAGAACACGGGCGACGACGCCGAGTGCGTCGCCTGCGAGAACCCGCGCCCCACGGCCTCTCCGTACGCTGGCTACAAGGTCGCGCGCGTTGTCGCCGTCGAAGCCATCCCCAAGACGAAGCTCCGAGCGGTCAAGGTGCAGGTCGACGCCACAACCGAGCTGACGATCGTCACGAACGCGCGCGTGGACGCGGGCGAAGAGCGCCACATCGTCGTGGCCACGATCGGCTCGACCGTGACCATCGACGGCGAAGAGGTCGAAGTCAAGAAGGCGACCGTTGGTGGGCGCAAGTCGGAAGGCATGCTCGTGGACGCGCCGATGCTTGGCTGGAAGGGCGGCGCCGCGGGCGCAGCAGTCTTCCTGCCCAACACATTTGCCATCGGGTCGGAGCCGCCGGCGTCGCGTCCGTAGAGTCTTGGTGTATGCAATAGAACCTCCTCTTCCATATGCAGGTATCCAAGCGCTACGACGGCGGGAGGCAGTGCTGGCCATCGAGCTTGAGTCTAGGCTGACCATACCCATCGCACGACCGGGCTGAAGCGTCCTCCTACTATGTACATTGCTTGGCCCTTGCGAGGGCAGCATGGCGTAAAGCTGTGCTCCTCAGCAGTCGGTCGCGCAGCTCGTAGTCGGTCGAAGAGCTCTTGGTCGCTCGACTGTTTTTCTGCTGGAAGTAGAAGCTTCGGGTTCGAATATCGAATATCGATGTCGCCCCGGATACCCAACGGATAGATTCCGAAAAGTGAACATGGCGGAGAACGCCGTCGGAAACGATGCAATCATGCGGCTCTGCAAGGTCGTCTGCGAGGACGACAGCAGCTACCGCAGCAACCAAGACGACGAGCCACCTGTGGACGATGCCCATGAAGCGCTGGCCAAGGAGGTCTACCTCCTGCGCAAGGAACGCGACGATCTCCAAGGGGCGCTCAAGGCCCGCGATATGGAGCTGACGGCGCTCCGCGAGCGCTACGAGCTCTTGCTGACTGCGGTCGAGCAGCAGGACGAAGCGATCGCCGCCATTTACGCGACAACGGGCGCGCCCAATGCGACGCAAGCGCTCGAGCAGTATTCGGCGATTCGCGAGTCGTGCTTGCTGCTCACGGCGCAAAAGAAGATGGGGCGTACGGCGCACGAGATGCTCCAGGCTCACTTGGACTCGATGGGCTTTGAGGGCCTCGACGTTGCGCCCGTCGTCGCCGCGCTCCAAGAGCAAAACCCCGGCAGCAGTGGCCGCCACGACCTCGCGCTGCTCAACTCGGCGCTGGACCAGCTCTTGTACGCACCGTCCAACAACAATTTCGACGGCAGCGCGACGACGCCCGAGGCCTCGTCGCTCTCGCACCTCGCGGCCACGGGGTTTCTGCGGCGCAAAAGCGGCCGCCTCAGCGTCAGCGACTTTGGCCTCCTCGAAACAAGTAGTCCGCGGCGCGACTCGGACCCGCTCTTCACTGACGACGAGGAGGACCACACGGCACCGACGGCGGTAGTTATTGTCTTACGTCGTGCCAATGACTCACCGCATAACTAGGAGGCGCAAGGTGAGCCGGTCGAAGAGCTCACGTACAATGGATTTCTCGAGCGCCTGAGCCTGCCTGGGTCCCGCGATCTCGTCGACCACATCCGCCGCTTCTTGGGCTCGATCCTAGGACCGCGCGGTGACGGCCAGTACGCTGCTTTCGCCAATGACTTGTCAGCAAATCTTATGTGCGTAGGCCGCCGACGTCGAGCCACTTTGTCGACTACCCGTTCTGCGGCAACACCAACTTTCAAGCGCGCTGCGAAGGCTTCTTCCGCGGCATGGACGAGCTGCTTGCGAAGCACCCGGCGTGGCGCCACGCACCCGAGTCGACGCTCGTGGCGGCGCGCGACGGCATTGAGAAATACGTCATGGACAAGCTCGCCGACATTCCGCTGACGCAGCTCCCGCGCAGTCGCGAGTGGCGTCAAGAAGACGCGGTGCTCTGGCGCCGCATGCAGTTGCTCTCGGTGCACCTCACGTCGTGCTACCAAAGGATTCACTATATAGCGTACGTAGTTTGTGACGCCCGATATGCTCGACATCAAGCCGTGCATGCGCAACGAGGTCGTGTGGTCCATTGCGACGGACGAGCTCCGGCGCATGAACGCCGTCCGGTCGCCCGGCGACAAGATCCACTGCATCGTACGCTGCTGCAGCATCATCTTCAGCGTCCTCAACCTCTCGCGCGGCGACGACGCGCTCAACCGCCCTGGTGCGTTGACGTGAACGACGGCCATGACGCTTAGCAGCACCTCGGATAGGGGCCGACGACTTTTTGCCCGTCTTTATTTACATTGTGCTCCACTCGCAGATCCCGGGTCTCTACTCGAACGCCGAGTACATTGCAGCGTACCGCCACCCGGCCGATCTCATGTCCAAGTACGTTAAGTGAATGTCCGTCGTATGCTGACGGTAGTCTTAGGGCGGGCTACTGCTTTGTGAACCTTCGGAGCGCGATCGAGTTCATCTTGGTGCTCGATGCGTCCATGCTCACGATCGCTCCGGACGAATTTGACCGGTGCGACCACGTTGCGCGCTCCAAGCTCATGCTTCTGTGCGCGTAGGTTGCTCGCCGATGCCGATGCCGCATTGCCCCCAAACTCAGACGCCGAGACGACCTCATAAATATGTAGTATATATATACCCCAGGGCTCCTAGATGTGTACACTGTCCATTTTCGCAGCGGGGTCGACACAGGCGTAAATAGCGGTGGACTCTGTACCCTAATCCCTTCGAGCGTCGACTGGCCTACTAGCCACAAGTTACGTCGATCAGAGTCAGCGTGAATCGTCCTCTCGAATGGACGGGTTGTCGTGTGTGGTGTGGACGCAACGCGCTGCACCGCAAGAGCATCAGAAAGTGTGTTACTAGATCAACGAGTCTCTGCTAATCGTGGGCTCAGGACATGGACGGGTCCGCCGCATTGGCCGCCGCCGTCTTCTTGGCGAGACGCTCCGTGCCCTTGTAGTAGAGGAGCCCGGACACGAACATCATCATGACCGTCATGACAAAGGTGATGTAGACAATGGCCTCGGGGCCAAACGCCGAGCCCGAGTAGTTGCCCATGAAGAAGCCCATGAGGACCGGCACAAACGACTCGCCGCAAAAGCACCCAAAGACGAGGAGCGAGCTCACGCGCGCGAGGAGGTCGTCGCTCACCACGTCGATGAGCGACTGCACTGTGCCCGTGAAGAGGGGCGAGATAAACGTGGCGTAGCACACGAGCGCGATCGTAAACGTGTGCACGCGGTACTCGGCGCCAAAGAAGAACTGCCCGGACGTCATCATGGTGATGCTCAAAACGCAGAGGATCGTGAGCAGCAAAATGTGGATCGGGCGCAACCCGAGGAAGAAGTACCGCGTAAAGATCGCGTACGAGACGGCGAGCGCGCCCCAAAAGAGAAACATGATGAAGCAGCACACCGTGTGCGTGAGGTAGCCGAGCGAGAGTGGCACGACGACCTCGAGGTACTGGAAGAGGAACGCCGCGAGGCCCACCTGGATGCCCGTGTACAAGGTCACAATGACCATTGCAAGTAACACGATAAAGTTGCTCTCGGGATCGTACGAGTCTATACACGCAAGGTGAGACACCGCAGAGCAGTAGCCGACAAAGCGAGGTACCCGCGTTGATGCGTGCGGCGCCGAGGTCGTCGCTGACGTGGAGGAAGACGCCGCCGCTGATCGGACTCGGGAGCGTTGGCGGCACCGAGAGGAGGTCTTCGCTGTAGCCGAGGAGCGATGCCGCCTCCTCGCCGTCTTCGTGCGGGCACTCGGTGGCAAAGATGAGGATCGCGGCAAAGAACGAGAGCGCGCCGAGGCTGCCGTACAGATACTGCAGCTCGGCCTTGGTCATGCGCACCACAATCGCGATGAGCGGACCCTACGCATAGTTCGAGGTTGAGCTCACAAGGCCGCATCAACGCCATGGTCTCGTCGTACGAGGATCGTGCCGCACGCAAAGGCGCCGTTGAGCGAGTTGACAACGCGGCGCTTGAGCACCGTATTGTTGTCCGGGACGGTCCAAGCCGCGCACTTGTTGATGACGACGTTCGAGATGGCGATGAGGAAGCCCTTGAGGATCATGTAGAAGGAGACCCATTGGTGGCCGCCGTAGCGGTTGACATACGGCATGCAGATGTACCACGCGGCGAGGAGGACCGCCAGCGTGCCGAGGAGAAGGTGCAAACCCGTCCGGCCAAAGGACGAGAGGAGGCACTTGTGGATGAGGATGTCGCCAAAGAAGCCCGCAGAGACGATGGCGGCGAGGCCATGCAGCGCAAAAGCAGGGTTATAGTCGGCGACCGAGTCGCGACTGGACGACATCTCTTGGAGCGCGGGGCCGAACGAGCCGAGGAACGCGCCTTGCGAGAGGTACAGCGCCCAGTACCCGACCATCTGGCCCTTCCACCGGAAGGCGAAGATGGCCTTGATCGCGTCCACGGGGTGGGTCATCGGCGGCACTGACTGCGACGACGAAGAATGAACGAGCAACTGGCAAGAGTCCTGCCAATTTCCAACAGCCTGTTGTAAACACAACCTTACGACAGCGTGGTTGACTACAATGATCAAGCTCAAGGTGTTTAAAACAGTTGAACATGTTGGTTTCATGGACAGTCGATTTTAAACACCCCAGCTGTGTGGATTGTGATGGCCAATCAGCGCCGAGCGCAGCGGTTCGCAGCCAATCGGAGCCGGCTGGAAGTGGTGATATCAAATAGCGTCTCTCGCCGCCCTCCTGCACAGAGTGGCGCGACCGACCAAGGTTTACGCCACTGCATACTAAATTGCTATTGCGCAAGGCAGCGCCGCAAGGCGAGGACCTGCGGGGCATGCTGGACACTGCATGAGGAACCGTCGTCTCGGAAACGGTCTTTCTTTCGGTTCACGATTGCAGTTCTGAATTGTACCGCAAGCCTTGCGCACTCTCATCATTGCACGTTGGGTGCTGCAGCTCGGTCTGCAGTGAAAACCCATGCTAGCACATCGAGTTGTGGGATACCCAGTGTTACGAGTATGTTATCGGCACGGAGAGCGGAAGCGTGCCGGACAAGTGCTGTACGTGCTGAAGGTCGACGCACCCACGACAGCCTGCTGCTCAAAACCAGTGCTATCTGTTCTCGCCTTGGGATTAGTGTGGTAATTTAAGCTTGGCGAATTCAAGAGTGGTGTATTGGTAGCGTAGAATGCACCTTAGACATCGATAGAACACTAGTTTTGTAGAAGGATCGCGCGAAGAGGTGCGTCGAAGGGTCGTGGGTTGCGCAATGCAGGTCCAAACGTCGAAAACCCAGAACACTATCACAGCAACGCGCTAGATTCGTTCGACAAACTGGATTGGGAGATTAGCTCGGAATTCGCAGTCTGCTCGACAGTCTCGTTTGAAGGTCACGCTATGCGTTTAGGGCGCTGGTTCTTGCCATATTGCGACTCGCGCTGATTGACAATCGCATGAGCTGCAAGCTGCGCCGTAACTCTACAGACAGCTCATGAGGGCCATACTTCGGGGCTACCATCTCAAACGACAGCAGCACAACGTTTTCGCATTCGTCCAGGGCATTGCACCCATTCAGGCTTGGTATTCTTCGGGTAGCACGGTCTTGCTGTCTGCCTTCTTGACGATGACACTTCTACACATTGTCTACCGAGGCAATGACCTTGCAGCCGTAATAATTAACGACTTTGACGATCTGATGACGGTGCTCCAACTGCTCAGAGCCTGAAGCGACCCATCTCACGTTACATGGGAACAACCAGGCGCCCAATGCAGCAGATGAGCGATCCAAGGAGCCCGCGCAGAGGTTCGCATGTCCTGGCACAAAAGCTCGCTGCACGTTTTGTGCGCAGATGGGATCACCGCCCTCGCGCACTCAACCAAGG